CTCAGCACTCCTTGAATGGCATTATTTCCACATGTATCACTGACATATCATACTCTTTGCCTATCAGCTATTCTGAATCACTTCAAGGTGTATCTTTTTTACATAGCATATACTTGGGATTTTCCTTATAATCCAGTTTGAGTCCTTTTCTTTAAGTGTATCTGGACCATTTACATTTACAGACATGACAGGTGTTTGGTCTTGTTTTTTTCATCATATTTTACATGACACATGGTCTTTCCACTGATGTTTTAAAATAACTTCCTATATATGACTGTTTCCTTTGTTTCTGCATGTGCTCTGATCATTCAAAAAACTTTATACTCTTACCTTTTGATGGTTACCTTATTTACAAATCTGACTTTAAGATGCCTAAGTGTGGTCTTCTTGAAACTGTTATACATTCTTGAATCTCTGAGTTTATCTTTTTCATCAAATTTGAAAAATTTTAAGCTAATTTTTATTTCTGTCCCATCTATGTGCTTAAAAACTGTTTATTTTCTCTTGAATGAAAAAAATCTATATTTATCTATTAGATCAAGTTTGTTAACATTGTAATTCAAATCTGTATCTTTGTTTTTTTTTCAGCTTTTGATCTATCCACTTAAAATCTCCAACTAAAACTGTTGATCTCTTTCTAGTCGATTGTAGTCACTTGATATATTTTGATGCTATATTGGCAGCAACATACATATCCATGATCATAATATCATGTTACTAATAATATATGACACCCTTTGCCCCTTACAGCATATTCATCTTGTAATTGTTTTGCTAATGTTAAAATTACCGCCATGGCTTTTGTTCAATCTGTTGACATGTATTTTTTCCATCTTTTTACTTGTCAGTCTTTAATATACTTTGGCTTTAAATATGTCTTTTGTGGCTATTACTACATCTTTGAAAACCCAGCCTGGCAGGGAATTTCAATGTCTCTGGAGAATCTAGGTGAGGGAACTAGATGGAAAGACTTTCAAGGAAGCTGTAACACAGTTAGAGGTAGAAGTAACTCCAGGTGGAGGGCCTTGCAGAAGGAGTTCATCCTGGACTTCTGAATTTGTTCCAGTCCAAAGAAGGTGATGCCTTGGGAGTTGGGCCTAAACCCAAAAAGCTCACTGTGCTCTCTGTAACAGTGACTGTGATCCATGTGGCTAGCTGCGCTTTGTTCCAATCAGAAAGGGAACAGTTCCAGGCTGGAGAAGTTTCCTTCCTGGGAGGGTTCAAAGACAGCCTTCTGTACAACGGGGAAGTGAACAAAGGAAGCATAGACCTTAACCACTGCATCATTGAGCACCCAAAGTTCCCTCTGGTCTACCTTCCTGAAGTTATTACTCAACAGCTCAAGAGATTAAAAGCTTTTTGAAAAGACTGGCTCCTTTCCACAGACCTGGCAGGTGGTGAGATAATATGGATGACCCAGCTAGAATACACTGAAGTCAGAAACATTTGCCTTATAGAATAATGAGCAAATATTCAGAACAACAGAGGACAGCCTGGCTACTGCAAGACACAAAGATGCCTAATAGAGTGGGTGAGGCAGGACACAGGTTCACAACTATGCTTCCCTGGTCTCTGAAGCAAGGGGCAGTTGGGACAGAACTTCAGAGTACGTGCAAGCACCTACACAATCCTAGTACAGATATTCTGGAAGGATCGGGAGGAAGCTACTCATCTATTTCCTTGATCCAAAGATTCTGTATCTCATTTTTAATGTTTAAGCAAGTCTGTGGCAAATACTGTAGAGAACATAGAATTAAACTTGGTTCCAAAAAAAAAAAGTATTCAAAGTAAATCGATAGGCACTTCCCTGGAGGCCCAGAGGTTGTGACTCTGCCTTCCGGTGTGGGGGAGGGTTCGATCCCTGGTCGGGGAGCTGAGACCCCACAGGTCTCACAGCCAAAATGCCAGAAACACAAAAAACAGAAGTAATATTGTAAAAAATTCAATACAGACTTTCAAAATGGTCTGCATCAAGAAAAATCTAAGAAAAAAAAAAGCAAAAGAGACATCTTCAGGTGACGGAGCATTCGGGGTATTTTTAATATAGAACTTTTAATATAAAAGATAAACATACACATGTACACACACATACACATACATCCACACACGTGTATGTGATGGCAGACTTCCAAAATGAAATCTAAGAGCCATAATTTTAAGAGCTGTCCTTCTTTCTCTGCCTCTAGCAAGTAAATAATGATGTTAAGATCCTTCGCAGGAAGGAGGACGACAATCATCTCTTTCACAGTCCTACACAACCCTGAAGCAGGTGTTAAACACCATCTCCATCTTACAGATGAGTCTGGCCTCCTGTTTCCTTCCCGGTGGCTCATGAAGAATGCAGGAGGGAAGACGGAGTGTGATGCTCCATCTTTGAACCAGCTGGGCAGGAATTAAAGGGGCGACTTTAGAACCAGCAGACACACAGACACATCTCGGTACAACTTTCTTAAAACACATCAAGTAACACCTTTCAAACCAACAACAATGGTTTTTTGGGGTTTATTTTGGCTACATCACACAGCATACGGGATCTTAGTTTCCCGAAAAGGGATCAAATCCACGGCCCCTGCACTGGAAGCAAGGAGTCTTAACCACTGGACCACCAGGAAAGACCCTAATAATGGCCTCTATTCCCGTTTCTAACCTGATTCCTCTTTTGGAATTTGCTCTTTGAGAAACCTTAGGCTCAGAAATGAGGATTCCAAAAACCAAGAGCCCCAGATCCTGCTGAAGAACCACAGCACGACTTTCTGTGACACTCCTAATAAACCATTCGACTTGGCTTTGAAGCTGTTTGAACTGGGCATAATTTAGAAGCTGTGTATCAAATCATGACCCAGTGCCTCCACAGGAGAGTACCGTTTACCCTGAGATCTGTTCAGTTCCACCCAGCAAGTCCCGAGTAATTGGCAACAACAGCCTGCTGGTCCAAAGACGGCATCTAAGACGGTCCACAGGTTTTGGGCAGGAAAGCTTGCTTTAGGCTGGGAGAGTAGAGAGGAGGAGATTAGCATTCATTAAGAGGCAATAGATCTTCACAGGGCCCCCTAGGTGATGCAGTAGTAAAGAACCCACCTGCCAATGCGAGAGACTCGAGATGTGGGTTCAATCCTTGAATCGGGAAGGTCCCCGGAAGGAGGAAACGGCAACCCCCTCCAGTGTTCTTGCCTGGAGAATCCCCATGGACAGAGGAGCCTGGCAGGCTGCAGTCCATGGGGTTGCAGAGTTGAACACAACTGAGCGACTAAGCGCACACACATAATAGATCTTCACAATGAAGAGGATAGACTTCGGAGCCAGATTGCCTGGACTTTTTTTTTTTTTTTATGTGGACCATTTTTGTCTTCACTGAGTTTGTTACAATATTGATTCTGTTTTATGTTGTTCGTTTTTTTTTTTGGCCCCAAGGCATATGTGAGCTTAGTTCCCCAACTACAGATCAAACCAGCACCTCAGTTTTCTCATCTGTAAAATCAATCACTAACAGTACCTACCTATTAGTGCTGTATGAGAAATCAATGAATACATGGAAAGTAACATGTGTACACATACATGAGCTGTACACATACACATGTCAAATGCTATCAATCACGACAAGTAACTACTGAGTCCCAGGCGTTAAGACTTGGTATCATAAATACACTATTTCAACTGATTCCTTCCTCAGCAATCCTATGAGTCTAGATAAGCTCCACTTTTACAGGAGGGAGTGGACTCAGAGCATGCCCTCACAGTCAGGGAGCAAGTCACGCAGCCCGCGAGACTAAACAAGTGCTTCTCTCCCCACAAACCTCCCCTAGTCAGCAGTGACCAGGGAACAGACACCCTCGGAACAGCTGCCGTGCATCTGACTTTAGAAAGGGGCCCGCTGCATCCAGCAGGCAGGACGGCGGACGATGCCCGTGAAATACAATGAAGCAGCCTGTCCAGCACGGCCAGCCTGCTCCCAGAACTCAGCGGGACTGTCCCCAGTGGCCCAGGACCAGAACAAAGCCTGACCTGACCCTCCAAGTCCAGGTCTGTGGTGCTCTTTGCTCACCAGTGTCTAAAGTGCTTGTGGACAACTCTTAGTCTGCTGTAACAGACCAATTAATGCCTCCTCTCTGGCCCTCTCAAGATTCTCTCAATCTTAAAATGAGCCAGTCAAATAGCATGATTTTATTGGGAGTGATTCACAGTAGGGAGTGAAGGGCAAGGTGGACAAAGCCCAGGGGACTGGAGGCCAGAGGGACACTGCCCAGCCAGGGGAGGACCCCCACAGACAGACACCACCTTCTTGTGGTCCCCGGAGAGCGAAGACCACCTCCTGGCAAAATAAGACAAATGTCCAGTTTAAGGCTATTATCTCCTTTATTCAAAAAATAAATATTTCACTTTTGAGTCGACATATATTTCAAATCACATGAAGCACAGAGAAGAATTACAGTCCCTTCAGAAATCGTGAACACGTGTAGGAAAAGAGTCATGTTCAAAGCAACAGGGATGGGGTAAGAAGCACTGATCCCAACTGATCCGTGACCCAGAGATTCCTCCTCTCATCAGGTGAAGCTGTCGACATACCGATTGGAGAGAAACACAGACACACACACACACACACACACACGCGCGCGCGCAGCTTTGAAGTCTGAAAGGCACATGAAGTGGACCATAAGGTGTATGGCACATTCACTGATAAAACGTTCCCTATTCCCTTCCCGAGAAAAGTGGAGAAACTTTAATCAAGTCACAGACCAGAGAAGACACGGGGCCCTGCTCGGAGCTCAGGAAACCCTGCGCACGGAAGCCACTCATCCGCGCCCTCACTCGGCGCCGGCTGGGCGCGTGGCCACGTACACGAAGACCACGATGAGCAGCACCACCACGGCCAGCGTGGGCAGCACCACCGTGGTGATCTGCCGCCGCGCCTCTTGCATGGCCTGCTTCCGCTCCTTCTTGTCCCGGGACGTCTCCTTCTTGGGCTTCCCCTTGAGCTGCCGCATCTTCCCGGGCCGCTAGGAGGGCGCGTCTGGAGCCGGTTCCGATGGGAGGGCCACGCCCCTCGAGTCAAGGCGCTCGATCTCCTGCGAGAGAACCACGGTCAAGAACCAACGGAGGGAAGGGGAAAAGGAATCAAGAGTGAAAGGCAAACGCTAAACCAGGAGGAGGATCTGCGAGTCGAGGCCCGGGGTGGGGAAGGACACAAGAGTCCTAACCGCGCCTCCGGGCAGTGGGCGGCGGGGACATGCCAGGGATTTCCTGGGCACTGAGACAGGGCTTCTCAGCCCCACGGCGGCCGGCCAGGCCTGGGCACACATGGACACCAGTGCTTTCATGGTGTGAAGACAGCGCCCACTGCCGCCTCCACTCAGCGGCTGGGCACCCTTCTCCCGCCCAAGGCTCCGCGTACTCACCTCATTCTAAACCCACCATCTCCCGAGCCAGGCCCAGCGCCGGACCGCCCATGGCTCCCCCGACCTGGGGCCTGATCACAGGCCGGGCCGCCTCAGTGGGGCTGCAGAGAGCTCGGGCTCCGCCGCCTCTGCCTCTCGGTGGCTTCCCTCGCCCGCCCACCCACACCGCCTGCGTGCCAGGCTCTGCTTGCTGGGCTGAGGAAGGCGTGGCACCCGCGGTCTGTGCTCCGGGGGTGCACCCTGGGCTGCAGGCGGAGTGGAGAGCTGGCGCAGGCAGACGATAACAGGGGACTGGCTGAGCCCAGGGCCCTGCCGCCCACTCATCCCATGTCTGTAAATCTGTGCCCCAGGGAGGCGCTCCAGGGCTGCGGCGGTGCTGCCGGGGGCCGGGGAAGGAAGGAAACCCGGGGGTAACTCCGTGAAAGTTCCATACAGAGTTTAAAGCAACAGAAACAGGCTGCGGCTGACTTAAGTTGAGAAGGAGTTTAGGCCATGGCCATGGGCACTGCACGGGATCAAGGAAACAGTGTGACAAGGGGCTTCCTTGGTGGCTCAGGGGTAAAGAACCCACCCGCAGTGCAGGAGACGCAGGTTCGATCCCTGGGTGGGGACGATCCCCTGGAGGAGGGCACGGCAACCCACTCCAGAATTCTTGCCTGGGGAATCCCATGGACTGAGGANGGCAACCCACTCCAGAATTCTTGCCTGGGGAATCCCATGGACTGAGGAGCCTGGTGGGCTGCAGAGTCGGACACGACTGAGCACTCCAGAGCCAGTGGGCATCCCCAGAGGTCACTGACACCTCAGGTTGCGAGGCAGCCTCGGGCTGGAGCGCTGCCTGGCTGCTGCCTCTGGAGCCGGGTGGTGGGGGTGGGGGGATGGGGGCGAAGAGGGGTGAGGGACCAGACAGGCCGCTGTCACTGCTCTGGAGGATCCCCCAGGGCCCAGCGTTCCTGCGTCACCACGGGCACACAACCAGACAGGCGGAGGCCCAGTAGGCCCGCAGCCCAGCCGTCCAACCTCCACAAGCCAGGCGAGCGTTTTCTGAGCACAGTGAAGGAGCAGAGGGTGAACAACGCCCATCTTAACATCTGGAGAAGGAAACGGCACCCCACTCCAGTGTCCTTGCCTGGAGAATCCGAGGGACAGAGGAGCCTGGTGGGCTGCGTCTACGGGGTCGCACCGCGTCGGACACGACTAAAGTCGCGCAGCAGCAGCATCGTAAGCTGCCAGGCCCTGGTACGAGCCGGGCCCTTCCGGAGGCGGAGGAGCAGCGGGCGCCAGTATTCCTCCAACAGAGACTTTCACACCACAGTACTTTGCTCTCAGTTTTCGCCCAGGGCAGCCGGGGGCCTGTCCCCATCCTGGTGAGGAAGATGACATCTACACCTAAAGGAACGTGTGAAGTGGCAGGACATGGAATGTGAGTTCCCAGCTGGGAAAGGATGCCTTTCTTTTAAGAAAGGAATAATGGCTATGTTCCAAAGCCTGATGGAAATCATATGTCTGCCTAAATGGGGCTGCCCGGAACATTTACTATTGGCTATTGGCTGGCATCATGTCATTCCGCTGCAGTAACATCAGCCCTCTTGCCCTTCGAGAAACTCTGCCTGACTGTGGATAATACAAAAAAGATACGGGGGTCTGTCTGGGATGAGAGGAATGGTAAGAGGCTAGGAGCCCTCTACCACCAACAGGCCACTACTTTTTAGGACCTGACAGGTGTAGGAGCCCCTGGCTTTACAAACCCTCCGTTTATAAACCCTCCTTTTCAAATCTTTCAGAGAACTGGCAGGTCGTTCAAACTCAGGATGGATCACTTGCTGGTTGAAGAGTTTGGGGCTTCACAAAGCCTCAGCGTCAGAAGTCCCCCGAGGCTTAAAAAAGCCTCATTCCTGGGGACAGGGCAGGTCTGGCCAGGACTTAGAGGACAAACAAAGGCTCAGTGGTGGCCTCCCTGCTCTCAGTCACCTGTGCTGTGGGCCTGAAACACGGCCCTGAGCACGTCTTCGGCTGATGAGGGGGTGGTGGGCAGGGAGGGAAATGCCTCTGAGCTCACAGCCGGGGAGGGGAGAGGGCGAAGCATGGGGAAGGGCAGCAGGCAGAGGGAGTGGACAGAGCCCGAGGGTGGCGGGAGGGGACGTCGAGCCGGCACCGAGGCCAGGCCACCCAGGGGCTGCTGGACCACGGCTAGGGGTCAGGCTGCTCAGAGCAGCATAAGGGCTGCACACAGGGAGGCGCAAGCTCTAAAAAGCTCTCCAGGCCGGGCCATGGAGACCCGGGTACAGGGGGGTGGGAAGGAAGGTGCTCAGAGCTGGCCAGGGAGGGACAAGGGTGGCGCAGACCTGGTGGGGACGACCAGGGGTGATAAACACGAGGGTAAAAGTGAAAGTTGCTCAGAAGTGTCCAGCTCTTTGCAACCCCATGGACTGTAGACCGCCAGGCTCCTCTGTCCATGGAATTCTCCAGGCAAAAATACTGGAGTGGGTTGCCATTCCTGTCTCTCTCCAGGGGATCTTCCCAACCCAGGGATAGAACCTGGGTCTCCTGCATTGCAGGCAGGTTCTTTACCATCTGAGCCAGCAAGGAAGCCAGTGGGCTTTAATTCAAGGGGTACAACGAACAAGACCTAATGACAGATTAGACATGGCACGAGAGGGAAAGAAAGTCATGGGGAAGACCTCGGGTTTGGAGCTTGAGCAACTGGGTGGACGGTAATCACGCTCGTGAGGTAAAGGGGAGTCACAGGAAGTGGGGCTGGATTTGAGAAAGGCCATCAGTGCTCTGCCTGCACCTACCCACACGTGAGGAGGACTGTCAGACATCAGCATGAAGACACTCAGTAAGTGGGGAGGACATGAGTCCAGAGCGTGGTCTGGGCTGAAGGCCTGCACTGGAAGTCACCAGTGATTGAGGATGTGAGCTCAGCAAGGACAAGGCAGATGCAGAAGAGGGCCCAGCCCAGGCATCTGACAGTTAGCACAGGGAGCATGTGTGTGTGTGTGTGTGTGTGTGTGTGTGTCTGGGAGCGGGGGGCTTGGGGGGCGGGGGAGCCTATGGAGAAGAGGCGAGTGAAGAAGAGATAAGACGGTGGAGCCCTGGGGACCAAGTCGAGAAAAGCATGCTTCAGATGCCACCGGCACAAAGGGAAGGAGCCTGCAGACCTGGTGACCGGGGAGCTGCCGTGAGGAGCTTCATTTCGGGGCGGGAGGGGAGCGCCCAGGCTGGGGCTATCACAGGAGCGGCCACACACTGCCCCTGAGCAGACAGATGCTGTGCCCGACTGTAAACGGCACACTGCCTCCTTCATCGAGAAAGTTCCGCCGTGAAACAATGTCAGCGGAACTAAAGTGCTTGCAGTGCACAGCTGATCAACATCTCATCACAAACTTCAGTCCTGTGATGACTCGTGACCAGAGACTCACACCCCAGCACTCTGCCTGGTCCTTGGACAGACAGTTGGTCTGAGGCTCCGCTGGAAGCCCCTGGGGGGCCCAGAGAGAAATGCAAGGACGTATGAGGGTTCCCATAGAAGGGAGAAAACCTCAAGGCTGAAGAAAAGAGGGGGGAAATCTTCAAGAGAAAGCTGGGAGCACAAAAGGACAGCTCTGCCTCTGAGAGAAGCAAAGGCAGGAGCTGGAATCCAGCAGTAGGCAAGACTAAGAAGTTCAGGAGGGGGCAGGTCTGAGTGGCCTGGCAGGGATGAGAGGCTTTCCCCTTCTCCGTGCAAGAGCGGAGGGCTTCCGGGCAAACCTAGGGAGCTAGGAGGCAGGCTGGAGGGAAGAGGAGGCAGGAATAACCCTGATGGAGAGGGAGAAGTCAAGCTGAACAGGGAAATACCAGCCCACACGGCCGACCCCCCTGCGTCCTCTGTGCCCGCGGCCCCCTCTGGCAGGCTGAGGACCGGCTCACCCACTCTGGCCGCAGCCGCCTGGACCGGGTGGCCAGCCAGCCCAGCGCTGGGTCCTCCAGGCCTGCCAGGACCTTTGAAATGTGTGGCTTTGCCTGGAAAGGAAATCGGGCCAATCCACCTCTATTTCAGAAGTCTAAACTAAGAAACCTGAATGGACACTGAAGCTGGAAAATCCTGCGGGGGCAGGCACCGGGGAAGCAACCTGAGGCCATGCGCAGCAGATGGCAGAGAAGGCCGCGCTGCGGACAGCAGCTGGGGTTCAGGGCCTCCTGAGAGCTGGGGAGCAGTCCGCCCCTGTCTCTCCAGCACAGCCTGCAAGGACCTGCTTGGTACAGGCTCCTGAGCCGACCTGTGTACACATGCTTCTGTATCTTGGGATATCTCTGAATCTCTTTGAACTGGAGTTATTTCCAGTGGGTCACTGTGGCCTAGTCTAATGAAGGAGCCCTGGCCAAAACGATCGCTCCAGTTTTACAAACGAGGAGACCAAAATGAGGGAGTGGCAGAATCCTAGGTCAAACCCACAGCAGTCTGACCCTGAAGCCTGACTCCTCACCATCCTCCGGTGCCTTCCCCATGGACCTTCCCAGCCCATTACCCCCTTTGCGGCCACATCACTGCTCACCAGCCTCCGTTGGAGAGAAAGTTGAAGATGAAGCTCACGAGGTGCAGTCTGGCTCTTTCCCAGCAAGCAGCCCAGGCCGGATCAAGGCCACTAGCTGAGTTCTAGCTTTATAGCCCGACTGTGACTGCCCCC